GGGCACATGTAGCAAAAAAATAAAATAAAAAAATTATAAACATATGATTGACAAATCGGTGGAGTGTGGGGGCACCCGTGTCCTATGGACACATTTCTAGTTTTTTTAAGATTTAATGTATTTGCTTGAACAGTTAGGCATCATAGAAAATTTACCTTAACTTTTATCATCGGCAATATAATTCAATGGGGTTTTCTTATTTTAGTTCATTAGATGTAGTAGTTACTTGATAGTATAACATTTTGTGGCTTTACTTACTTGTTTCAGTGACCAGGTGGTTATAACTAGGTTAACTTACCCAAATTTTCAATGATTTAGTGCGGTAAAGTTATTAATAAGGCATCATAGAAAATTAGCCATAATTCTTAAATTTTCAATGAAATTTGTTGGGAGTTTCTTAAATAAATCAATTTGATGTAGGTTTTACTAAACATTATAATACTATGTTGCTTTACTAAGTAAGGTTGATTCATTTACCATGAGGTTATAATCAGGTACAATTACATCCATTTTTAATGAATTAGTGTGTTAGCTTGGATAGTTATACATCATAGGAAAATAACCATGATTTTTTTAATATTCAATGAAATTTATTGAGATTTTCTTATTTTAATCTATTTGATATGCTTGTTAATTAATATAATAAATTTATGTTGCACTTAAAACTCTGTTTCATTTTCTAAGCTATTATTATAATAATGTAGTGAATTAGTGTACTATCTTAAGACAGTTAGGCATCTTAGGGATTTTGCCATAGTTCTTATATTTTGAATTGAAATTTGATGGGACTTCCTTAGTTTAGTCAATGAGATAGGTTTGTTTATTTATATGATAGATTTATGTTGCACGTATAGCTTTGTTCAATTTCCAAAACTATTATAATTAGGTTAAATTTTTTATATTTTGTAGTGATTTAGTGTATTATCTTGGACAGTTAGGTATCGTAGGGGATTTGCCATAATTCTTATATTTTATAATGAAAGTTTAAGACTCCCTATTTTATACAATTTAATATGTTTGTTAACTAATATAATAAATTTATGTTATATGAAAAAACTCTGTATCATTTCCTAAGGTAAAATTATCCGGTGTATCGACATTTTATGTGCTTTCTTTTATAGTTGGGGTCCACATGGAATTTGCTATAACATTTGTATTTTTAATGGACAATTATCGGAATCTTCTTTTTTAAGTCATCTTCCTCAAGCTTTTAATTAATAAAGTTTATTTGGATTGAGTTATCAATTACATTACTTTTCATAGAGGCCTCGTACTATGCTCTTTTTAATGAATTGACCTACCTATGAAGCATAAAATTGATATTGTAGGAAAATTAAAATTACAATCAATTGAAATTGTAGAGGTCGCAAGGGATATTAGTTTGCAAAAAGGGTACCAATTAACCTGTACTTATAAATTTATATAAATACATAGGTGATATTTAAGTAAGTGATATTATAGTTAGAACTATATCAGTTATGAGGTTTATAACCTACTTGAAGGAAGTTAAACAAGTGACTTGGGAGTACAACATACCTAGCTTCCTAGCTGAGAAAAATCTTCAAATAATTATATGGTTAAATATGGACAGCTTATATACTTTTTAAGTTAGCAAAGGGCGACATGGGCTCATCTTGGGTATTTCAAAGGGGTAATATTTTAAGTAATGATTACGGATCGATTAACCTTAAAAGTGATATGAGCTAATATACAGAATAAAAATCAAGAGAGCTATATATGTATATTAAAGTGGGTTATATTATGGGCCTCATATTAGATTAAGATGTATTTAACTTTTGACATGTAAACACTGAATGGGATGGGGGACAAAGGATTAACAATTTAAGAAGAGTGCTCACATAATAATTGTAACTGTTTTTTATTGAACATAATAGGAATGTTGCTATATCATTGTATTCTTTTTGTTTGATTGATCTGGTTGAATTCATAGAAATCCAGCTGGGGTGAATTTAATATAAAATAAGAATAATATTTGTTAACGGATGGATAAATTAAACTGGATTATATTAATATTTTGACCGAACGGCATACCAAAAAGGCCGGCAGTATTAATAGAACAATAAAAATTACAATCGCAATACTGTCGATTATTACACATTTAATAGAAACACAGAATTACAAAGGGAATACCTAATCAAGGTATCATTATTTAACAAAACATATATTTATTAAATATCACAAGTAATTACACTACATCAATATGGCTGTCAGACAGGTCTTGAAACAAAATAATGGTCCTTAAAAGCCAAGGCCACATACAAAAACAGCAGTCTATGTCCTGATTATGAGCTGACAGTTATGGGAATATTGTAGAGGGTGTCTTAGCCTGACTGTTGTGAGTACATGTCTATATTTGGGACAGCTTTACTTAATGATTTTATTTATGTCTTATTTGTAACATGTATGTTATGGAGGAACACAGGTTTCAACATCAAGTTCTCAGGCAGAGTCAATGCCACTACAGACTTCTAAAAGAGTAAGTGTTTGCTTGTAATATTGAATAAGTTGTGGACTAAATTTTATGGTGGCTGAGTTGGTAATAGGAAATCCCGATAATGGACATTTCCTACAAGACACGTCGAACCAGATTTTGCGACACTTCGAAACAGATTATTGGACATTTCCAACCAGATATTTGGACGCTTTGGCCCATACATTGGACACTTCGGACCAAACTTTTAGACACTTTATACTTATGTATGGGATGAATCGGACCAGATTAAAATATAAATGTTTGTTATATATATGTAACTATATCGTTATTTTACGAAGACCTAGGAAAACGACAAAATGCCAAAGGCTCCGTGCAAAGATAGAACAAAACTTTTTAGTCCTATTTTCAAGTTTTCGCCTGGTGCCTAAGGGAGCAAAAGTACAACATGGTACATATAAGCCACCATAGAATTTTCTTATCTAGAAAAAAGGCTAGCTATTTTTATTTGTACAAATATATAGAAATAGTACAATGTATAAGTAAAGTTTTTTTTTGTTGTTTTTTTGTTTTTTCAGTTTGTGTTTGTTTAGAATTTATTTACCTGTTTTTTATCAAATATTTAACCGTTTTTGTCACGATTTAGAGGTGTTCACTATTAAGGACATACAATGTGTAAGCGGCCGGACAGCTCAGTCGGTATAGCCGCAGTACGAGTCCATGTCAGGCGGCACATTTTTCTCACCCTATGACTGACATATAGCCAAGCTAGAAATTAATTCACATTGCTAAGTAATCCTGGGAAATTTGAAGAAATATTTGCATATACAGTAAGTATATAACTATTCAGTATTTAAACACATAAAAAGGGTAAGCGGCCGAATAGCTCAGAGGGAAGAGCCGCGGAATGGTATTTCGAGTGTCAGGGGTTCGAGTCCCTTCCAGGCTGTTACATATCAATATTAATCTGTTAAGAAAATTGGGAAGGAACTGTCTAAAATAAATATCACCCTAAATAGGATTCGGACAGTCCTTGATGAACGTCAGAAGATGAACTGGAAAAGGGGGGGGGGGGCGATGCTAGTCTGATTACCATCACATATGAAGTCTGACGAACCTCATAACGGATATATTGGTACGCATATAAACACCCGTTTGCTGAATCGAATATCAAAAATGTGCAATTAAATAGTAATTAAATCTTAAGCGTATGTAAAATAGGATTAAAACTAATCTTCGGCGTCAAGCACGTAGAAATCTGGTATTCACCACGAGGTCACAAACTTTAAAGCTTTAATGTAAATATCACAATAATATTTCTTTATATAATGTTTCTATTCTTTGACAGGGACAGTGAACATCTTTTTCTTGTTTAATTTACAAAATATATCTTTCTAAGACAATGTAAGATATTTTTTTACTTCTCAATAGTAACAGACGCAAAACACGGTACTTAACGTTTAGACGAGCGCAGACGTACGCAAAACGTCTCTGGGAATAACAAACGCACGCTTTTAAACGCACGATAAACGAAAAACAATACACGAAAAACGGTTAACGTTAAACGCTTGTAAATAATGCACGCTAGAGAAAGCGTTTCAACAAACGCACGTTGCACGATATACGCACGCACGATATTCGAAAAACGCACGCACAAAAACGCTATTTTGGACAACTGAAACGTTCACCCTACTGTATTTCATTTCTTGGTACTTTTGTACCAGAACGCTTTTCCCATTGCATTTTCTTGAGGTGGCCCCCGTATCCCAGGCAAAATGAAAGGGAATCTGTTCCTTAAAGACCTGCAGCTTGCAGCAACACTTCTCATTCACGCATCTTGCGCTTTTCATTGTCAACACATGTTAACTAACTCTCGCCTCCGGTTCCGAAATCGTATAGCTGCTTTGTAATGCAGACGTAAATTTTTTCCTCTATGATTCCAATTAAATAACCTTAATAAGGCCCTTCGTTTCTGTTTGTTAGAGGTACATATTAGGTAGTTTTGTTATTTTTGCAGGTATGTTCCTTGTTTATGTTTAATGTTTTTAACGTATAATTGATATGTAGGGCGTAGCGTAGATTGTTGTAAGAGGATTGTATAGATCTGGAAAATAATTGATAAAGGCAACAAAAGTAAACGCCATGTTTCTTCGGGTTGTTTTTGAAAATGAATCATGCAGCTGGGGTAACCATAGAGGACACATTGCGTACATAGATTTATATATCATACCAACACGTGTAAACAATCCTTTGCTGTGACAACATAACCTGTTCTAACAATGTATCTAAGATAAGCGATCCAATGTCATACTTATTGATATCTATAGATTATTGGTATGCTACATCAAATATCTATACATCCAATAGCTGCTAGATTTCAACCCTCTACTGGACCCGACAATGTACATGAGTTGTTACCTTTACTTTAAAATGCCGTAATGCCGGTCGTAAAATGCCTTAAAAACAAGGACAATCTTTACATATAATTATTATTGATTAATTTTGTTATATCAGTCAAACAGTGTCAAACAAAGATATAAGAAAAAAAAATGTTGTTTGCATATCGTGTATTCTGTCGTGTTTTGTTTGTAAGCTTCACTGAAAATGTTCCGAGTTTTCTCCATTTCATGGTTGAATTCAGTTAATAAATGTCAGAATATTTCAACAATTTTCTCGGTCGTAACAATTCAATTGTTACAGTAATAGGTACACTTCATATCAATTGCCATGGCGGCCTTCAACTTCTTGTTGTTTGACATCCAGTGTATCTAGGAAGTTAAAGAGATGATTCTCTGCAGACAATAGAAGCCGTTTCAGTGTATGCATTGCTAAAATGCTCACGTTTTTGTCCACATTTATCTCTTTTTCGTAATTCTTCAGTGGAAGAATAAAACTTCGAGGTACACCAAAGATGTTAGATACTTTGTCGACCAGGTTTTTTATGGTTTTACTCTGATAGACCTTCGTTATATCTTCTTCGACATAGGAACAAACGTTGTCAATCTTTGTAAGCACAATGGCTTGTGGAAGCCCTAAAAGAATTAAATTTCGAATATATACAAGTCATGTATATATATACAAAATGTATAATAACAAAAAAACAAAACAAAACAAAAACAAAACAAAAAACAAACAACAACAATTTGATTATGCACAAACTTAAAAACATACGAAATACCTTTCTGCCTAACTTTTGCCTGCATGTTTTTAACTTTTTCAAGCATATTCTCTGACAAAATGGTCGCTGTGTTTCCATCAAAAACAAAACACACACAATGAATTTTCTGTCCAAGTGTTGGAAACTTCACAAAACCATGGATTTCATTAGATATCGGTCTTATTGGATTAAACTGAAACATACAAGTATACAATATGAATTTGTCAAATTGAGGTACGTCTATTTATATAATGCTATTTTTCATGTCCAATAGTGTTACTTTTATTTGATGTCTTATGATACGTGAGTACTTTGAATAAAGTTAATGATTTGACTTTTATATTCCACAATATGCAAGCACAATGATGAGAGAAATAATGTTGTGTAAATCCGATTGATAATGCTGATACCTTGTATCCATCTGGAACGTGACCATCCAATATGTATGACAGCTCTTGAGCATCTATTCCTTGGCTTTCCTCCAAACCCATTGTGTCGCAGAGGCAAAATGGCAGTGGCTTTCTCTTTTGAGAACTTCGGACACGATACATGCGATACTACAATATGAGAACCGATGTAACATTACTACTTCCATTAGAATGAGGTTGCAAGCTATTGTTTAGTGATGACAAGTCAAGACATTCAAAATATAAATATCTTAGTCAGTCATGGATAGATAACATTTATGTTGTAAATAAAAGCAAAAACGTTTGCATATCATTCAACATATTCTGTCAATTTATTGACGATTCAGTTCACGCACAACTGTTAGAAGAATTGTGCTGTTAAATAGTTTGCTTGCCTTTCAAAACGGAAGAAGTCCATGTTTCACACAAAAATATACAGTAGTAATATTTTGTTTACCTCTGACGTAATACTTTTCTCTGCACTTCCACTAACAGCTTGGTCTGAGATATGGCCACGGTATACAGATGCTACTGTATTGAAAAGGCTTGATTTACCAGCGCCTACCGGTCCTAACACTAATATATTAGCCGTTTCAACATCAAGGCCATCCGGAGGCCTATATGATTCAGCGTATCTCTTCAATAGCATCAAATCCTTGAAAAAGAAAATGACTCATACTTTATTTCCCGATCAATTATTGCAATGAAAATAAAGATCATAATCAATTAAAGCACGTTAGGTTCATCAAACTTTTTTTTAAAGATTTTATTCACTAACCTCCGATTCCCAGCCAGGCGACACTCTCCAAACACTTGATAATTGTGGCTCTTAAATATAAGAAAATACAAAACACATATAGAATGTATAAACGTCAAGGTTGTTACGTAAACTATAACGTGCGATTTGTTAACATATTACAGCAACATTTATAAATAATAATTATATGATTTATTTGCAATTAGCACACACATTTTACGTCAAAAATGACTTGTGGGATTTAGGGGAATTTAATACAACGGTCTGTATTGCCATGCATTGAAATATTTATTTCATCATTTGAATTGATAATGACATTAAGGAATCAACTATATGTATCAAGTGAAATGAAGTTTGTGATTAAATACCTGATAAGCTGTACACTTCAACGTTAAATACAGTGTTGACATTATCCGTTACATTCTCGACTGAAACTCCACCCATGTCATAGGTTTTTCCCATCTGCATGTCTCCATTTAGAATGAACTGATTTCCTTGCAAGGAAAGGGTGTCTCTGAATACATCTAAATCATGGCCTGATCCAAATACTGGGCCATGAGTGTCAATACAGTAAAAGGCCTTATCTGATTCTTTTACAGGAAACTTATTCAAAGCATCATTGCCCTTAGACTTTAAGCGGAACAAAAAAGCCTTGTCATCTTTTATGTAATGTCCAGTGCCGCATGAGATCCAATTTTTTTCAACATATCCCCCAAATATAGAATTTTTTGTGTTGTAAATAACAGTAACAGTTGGACCTTTGTTGTCACATTTTTTATGAAATGTTGTAGCATTAGCCTCGTCACGAATGAAGCTATACAGTAGATTAAAGTCTTTAGCTCTACTGCCGATAAATTCTAAGATCGAAGTTTTATGTTCCGACTTGAGGTTTCCATCCATTGCCTGCAATGTTATAATTAAAGTCAATGAAACAGAATAAAAATATAATGATCATTTTAATTATGACAAATCGTCCCTTTTTAGTTGTAGCTATATTCATGTGTCGATTCAACTGAGAAATCTTATTACATTCTTTAATAGTATTTTACAAATATATCTTGTGACACAAATGCAAAATTGAGATGAAAAAAGAAGAAAAAACTGACAAACAACCAAAAACCCAATACACAAAAGTCTTACCTCTCAGGATAAATGTAGAACGTCAGCAAAGATCGTATAATCTCCGACTGAAACTGAAACTTGATACAAAGAATCGAGTCACTTAGTATAGGTAACACATTAAAGGCTCTTCTTCAGAGTAAATTATTATTTTAAACTATATTTTCAGTTAATCATACCTGTATATTAAGGGCAATTTTGTAATTAATTTAACAGTTATTGAAAAGCATCATTTACAAAGAAATTATTAAAATATTATAGCGTTACTATTACGTATAAAAGTAACATAGTTATGATGTATATGATTGACATTAAGATAGTTTTCCAAGGATTTAACTGACTTAAGTAGCATGTGCTATGTGCTTGATATTGCTGAAAAAAAAAACATATTGCACAAATTTATATGAACTTTATGACTGTGTCCTTTTCTTATAGACATCACATAAAGATCATTAGAATTGTATGTTCTTTCTTCTTAACAACCCAATGCATGTACCGCAAAACCGCTTTAATGACTCGTCAGTACTTGTAAACGCTATCGAGCTAACAATTTTTGAAAATATGAAATGTACAATGTATATCGTAAAATGGTGAATGATCCAATTTCTTTTGACTTCTAAATTTTTGTACACTTGCCAAATACATTTGTGTTCAAGTGAAGAAGAATATGTTATTGTATTGTTTTGTATAATTACAGTGAATTTTATCTTTATCTTAAAAGTGGTGAATATGATACTTTTTTCAAAACATTCCACTGGTATGTAATCTCAAATATTTAAATTGCAAAGTTACATACCTTTTTAAGCAGCGATTTTTTTTGTAGATTTGCAAGCGTTCCAAGTATTTAAAAGATTTATAAATACCCTGTTCGCGACTGGACGACAATGCGAAATGAGCCGTCTGGCGCTTTGTCGTGCTGTCGCTAGCGACAACACAATGCACAGGTGTGCCAAATCAGCCACCATAGTATTGCCATAAAACACAATTAAAGTACAGAGTACAACTAAGTAAAACATTTGCTAATCAACTTTATACTTGGGTTTTATGCCGTACCAACACAGTACAGGCCAAATAATAATAATAATAGTAATAATAATATCAATGACAATTCAACTACTACTACTTATAGTAGTATAAGAAATAGCGGTATTGGACACTGGCCTCCTCTGGACTCACCAAGTTCGCCGAGAGTTGGCCCAACGTCCAATAATATCGCTATTTCTTATATAACTCTATCACATATCTTTTCAACCTGGCATATACAATATATGAGTAGTTACGTCAATGTTTAAAAATGGCTTGAAAAGATATGTGATAGAGTTATATAAGAAATAACGTTTACGATCTAACAGTCTTTTTCTTAGTACAGATAATTCATTGCATTCAAAGAGATACAAGAAAAGCATTGATGCAAAGCATCAAAGGGCGTCCAAGCAAGAAATGCAGCAAGTGAAGATGGACTAGTAGACATATGATGACAAGATATTCTTATAAACTACCAGAAATGTATATCACTTATGAATGAGCGGACGAAAGACATTGTTTATTATGAACTTTGATTGGCATGCTAGAGATAAGAATATTACTTGTTATTTCTTTATGATCGTGGTTATAAATAGCAACGGATATACATGTATACAATTATTGATAATCCATATGTGTAACGCATGATCAACACGTACCACACCTTTGTAATTGTCCCTTATTATGTTATCGCTATTAGCGAAGACCCCCTATTAAGGTATCTGTTCACACTTAGTAAAAATATGACACTGGTTATATTACCATGTTGATCATGTTGAGCATAATTGTTTATTATACAATAATTGTAATAGCTATTAATTTTAATAAAAAAATACAAAATTTATGAATATTTTTTTCTTTTCTTTTTTGTGTTTTATGTGCTATTTAAATACTGAGTTTTTATGTTTACGAGCGTACTACGCTTTTTTTTATTAAAATTGTAATATAAATTTTAAGAATTCAATTGTCATATTGACCGACGATTATGAGTCAAAATTTAACTGGAAAAGGTCAGTAAATTATGGTTTATCTTTCAATATATAATTCTTAAACCATGTACATGTACATTTGTATTTTTCTTTATCATTTTTTAAATTATCAATCAATTGAATAATTCATAAAATCTAATTTGTAACTTTGAATAATTCCTCGGCATCTTTACTAAACACGGATAACAAATTAAATAAAATGTTTCAAAGTTGATAATGTCATATTAATACCATAAAAATGTACCCTTTTCTCAATTATTGTACATATTTATTGTTTTTATCTCATATAGATAAAATGAAACATGCTATTGTTGTTGTTGTTTTTTTTTTAATTGTAACGATATCAAACATCTACTCCAAAACCGGGAGAGACCGGACAATAAACGTGTGGTACTATTCGGCGGTCACTAGTAAATCCCGGTCAAAATAGACCGGGAGAGACCGGGAATTACCGATAGGAGTGATAAATAGATATATCTATAAAAAGATTTTCGGAATATTTAGGTCATCAACTGATCATTCTAGGATACATGTTCAACAATAACATACCATGATAACCCACTAAGTACTACAACATGATAAATAAAAAAAACCGAAGAGCGCGATTTATTGACGGAAAAGGTTATTTCATTTGAAAATGTTTGCATTGCGAAATTCTCCAGTTCGCTATTCATTGTAACATATCGCGACATTTCATTCTTAATTAATCAAGCACCCTCATACCGATCGGAATGATCGGCTTTTATTATGACCGACTAAAAGGCTCGAGAAGTTGCTGTCGCCCTTTCACAAAATCTGATTTCATTCCATAAGGGCGCCGCGCTTCGGCGCGGACGCCAAATAGAATTCATCTCCAATACTTCCGGAGCTGTTACAAAGTGTACATTTAAGTAACTTTAAATCTGTACCATTCCAACTTCCGGTTTCAACAGGAAGCCTGCTGTTTGTTGTTACATATCTTAGTAAGTTTTTTGGTATATTTGTTAAAAAGTGTTCGAAATGGAATTTTTCTTTAAATAATTTATAACTTTTACATTTACTCGATTCTGTACAATACCACTCATTTAGTAATAAATTAGACAATTTTTGCTTCACATTAGCAACTAACCGCTTTTGATTAGGAAACATCTGATAGGTCCATACATTGAAGTTTGGAAAAGAAAGCAACGTCGACAGATTTTAATTTAGTAAATAAGAGACTTCTCGCCAATTGCGACTATTATCGTTGGTAAGCAACGTAATAACAACACAAACGAGCATGCCATACACTGCTAATCAATTGTATTGGAATCATTATAATGCTATATATCTTCAATCTGGACAAAAACAACATTCATCATCTTTACGGGATTTTTTCAAAATATGTACTGAGTGAAAAACAAATATTGCAGACCACGATCAGAAGGGGCACGGGTGTTTGTGGTTTTTTGTATGCACCGGTCGCATAGGTTGAATCATCCAGTCAGCAGACAAATCGTTAAGTATGACCCCAATACAAAGAAAGAAAGAAACATTAGTATATAAGTCTACGTATTTTTACGTATAAAATATTTACGGCTATGAAAAATTATAAATAAAAAGTTAATTTCAAAATTCTACGTGTACTTTTTTATTCTTTAGAACATAACAGTGTAGAAAATTGTAAAACAATTCAATAATGCTGTATGATGAACATAGAAACAAGTAGTTTGAATATGTATAACCACTAAACTGTTATAACAGTGCACCTAGATCACTGATAATAAGACTGATTGTCTTGACTAACGAACGCTCGCACGCTTTGCACCAAATATCTATTGCGCTCTTTTGACACCCAAGGCGTAATAACTCATGGACGGACACCTGAACTGAACCAGAATCCAGGCTTGAATCAACTGTTTCTCGCTTTCGGGTGTTATTCTGGCCATCGTCGCACCCAGTGTGTCTGTCTGGAACCGGATGTGCTGGAATTTTCTATCAAAAGAAAACGATAAATATTCGTAATGACAACTGTTACAAATTTATTTCCTAACTTGCCTCTATAAATCAACAATATCAAATATTATTCTGTGCACATTTAAAATATTTTAGTTAAAAGAATGGCCCAACTTGGACTGCTCCATAAACATGGTCACGTGACTGAATTTCACATACAGTTACTGTCAGTTTGTAAAAAATTAAAAATTAAGACCATCCTAACCTATAAATTTTATTTAATTATACAAGGAATGATATAGAATTTATCTAATGTAAAAATCTTTTACTAGATTAGGCTTAAATATACTCTTTCAGGACCATACATACGTTCTAATTACACGGTATGTACATTTTTGACTTCATGCTATTATAAAAATGTAAGTAAAGTAAATAAGAGTTACTGGTAAACAATTAATACAAACAATACACCCTTACACTTTCATCTATGACATGTGTTCTCTTTCTATGATACAGCAACTCCGATTTTAAAGTTAGGCACTATTACAAATCGTTTGACCATTAAAACCTAGGCAAATAGTTTGCTATAAAATACCGAGTGTATGACAAGACAGAAGTTTAATTAACTTGATTGCAATGTCCAGTCTACCATCGACAGTACAGCGTCAGGTCCGTTTGTTCCTTTACCATCTGGACCTATCGTTTGACTTTCGTCAATCAGGAAGTTGAGTTGTCGTAGGATGTCATCCAGTCTGGATTTTACGCAGGGTTAAAAAGTATATTTGGCCCATCTAGTGAGAAAAAGAGGTAAACTGACATTCTGACTGAAGGGACACAAATTTTCTTCAGTGTCACGTGTGGCAACACTACGCCGTATACCCTCATTACCTATGAAATAACAAAAAAGAGCTCCCTAGTTAAACATAAATTAAAGTGACATTATGCCTATCCAAGTATAAATGGTGGGTGAAAAGGTCAAAGTCAAAACAACTTTTGATTTTTCCATAACAGGTTTCAATTTTAAATTATAGATAATAGTCCATACGAATAATCAATAACCCGCATGAATCACAATAATTTCTATATAATTATATCCTTTGGAATATGTCGTTAAAGCTCCATTGATTAAAAGAGTGGGGCAAGCCTTTTATATTTCAGGCAATTTATCATATTTTAGC